TATAACCACCTCATAAACCACCTCGTTCGCTTCGCTCACTCGGTGGTTTATTCGGTGGTTATAGCAGCTGACCATGCATTTATGACACCATATACACCTCGGGGCGGTGCATTAACCCTTTATTATATGCTCAGTACTTAACAACTATCTTTGATGTAGTTGACAGTGCTGTTTTTAGTGTCTGTGGGAGGGCAACTTGTCAATGTGTGTATGCACCTGTTTTCCCTCCTTTTCACAATATGCAAAACCCAAATAAACATCTCTGTTATGTACATTGAAACCAATAACATTCTGTGCTTATTTTCAAAAGAACAGACAGCATCTGTCACAAGAAGTGCATATATATATGTGTGTGTACTTACCTGGTGAAACCTGGCACAAACAAGTACTATCAATATCATTTGTTAGCCCTGTTGTTAAAAGGCTATAGGATATATCTCTAAGTACTAGTGCTTCCAGTGATGTACCAACCCGATAAAACTATTCCCGGATGTTTAGCTTCACGTAAGGTAAACATGCCTTTGCATCGTTTCTCCTTGTCCGAACAAATGAGGTGAGTGATAAGGTCAGTGATCTGAACCAGACGGCTGTTACCATGGTAAATTGTGTAACAGTCTGTGGTGTTGGATTACATATAATTATGTAGTAAGGACAGAGTTGGAGGGGCTGGTCACCATGTATGAAAAAAAGGATAAACAGCTGCTAGACCATCTCCATGTGAAAGTTAACATCATACATTTGCTTTGCAAATGTTAACGTTCTGGTCATGTATTCGTTGTACTTTAGATATCCTGGACCAAAGACTACAAACCTGACTACCCGCCACCATGGAGGACGCCCACAGGAGTCTCCACCGTCAGCTTTTCGAGACGATCAACAAAGAGATGGATGACGACGACTTCCGCCAGTTCCGGTCCATCGCGCAGGGGAAGGGCCTGAGACCAGGCGAGGCCTCCAAGTGTAACACTCCATCAGACGTACTGGACAAACTACAGAGGAAGGGCAAGATAAAGCTGGGGTGGTGAGGATTTTCAATTTTGTCTTCTCAGAAGGAAAACATTTTAGGATATAGGGATTTTCTTATACACAACCAGTAATGTCTCTTACCTTGCTTACGTTTCCTTGTCTACTAGACTCCTTCCTCAGAGTTTCTGACAGACACAAAAAGGTAAGCAAGGTGACAATACTGGTTGTGTAAAAGAGAGTCCCTGTATTCTATGCTCTACCAACTTGATGAAACTATTGTCGGAAGGAAAACAGTCATATTGTTATTGCTCTATTTCCTCTTCTTCTGGTCCAAGCAAAAAAAAAGGTCAGTGACCTGGACCTGACGTCTGTTGTCATGGTAACTGGTGCTGGATTAGGTTAATGTAGATTAATGTAGCAAAGTGACAGGGCATGCGTTCAGGTGTCTCCACTCAGTAGAGTATAAAATCTTCTTGCAATAGTGCCTCCCCAAAATTGAAAGTGAAACTTGTTAATTGTTGTCAAAATTTTTGTCCATATTTATATTGTATCACAGATCCATGTTAGATATAAGATCTTCTCACACCAATGTGTTCAAGGGGTTTTTGACAGGGGTGAAATGGAATCTAAGGTAAAAGTTGTTGTATTTGATTTTGACAAAGTGAAATGTAATCCTCGAAGGGAAAGTTGTTGTATTTGAGAAAGTGAAATTGAATCACCAAATGTGAAAGTAAACCTTGTTGCATAGCTACCAAGCACTGAAGGACATCTTCACAGAGATGGATCAGCAAGGGTTGATTGACCTGGTGACTGAAACTGAGACCAAACTGGAGGAAAGAGGTAATGATGTGTCAGTAAAGACACACCTGTTTTGTGCTCATAGACTCTCATCTTATCTATGCCTTAGTTTATTACACTGTTGGACACTCAAAGACTATTCGGCTATTGGGCTAATGGCTATCAAGCCTCCCAACGTCTAATGTGGATAAGTTGAGACACTAGGTTAACTTGAAAAAAAAAACTTTAAAAATGAAACTGTTGTACCGGATAATACTTGTTCAGTGTATATGCTCATATTACCAACAAATGACAAAGTAAAAACCTAATACAATGTACATGCAATTTTCCTTAAAGGATTGTATCTCCATTGCAAAATAAAAACAAACAAAACAAGACTTTTGAAAAAAGTTTATCTCGGCCGCTGGCCATGTAGTTTTGTGTTCTAGGAGGATGTCCACATAGATTTGTGTAACTGCTAGAGAGGAAAGAATGTATTACCTAGTATGTTCATACCTGTAACACCAAACAGGGTAATAAGTTGGCTTCCATTATCATTTGCTTCAATGGAATTAGTGAAAAATATTAATCTCGAAGCAGATGTTGGGAGGGAAAATGTTTAGGTAGAGATACAGATTTTCATACCGGAGTTTCAGTACCGAATTTTTTTGCTAAATGATCATTGCTAAATACAATATAACGTTAAGTATATGTAACCACTACAATGATTTTCATTTTATTTTATTTTATTTTTAATTTTTATTTATTTTTTATTTATTTTCATTTTATTTTTATTCTGTTTTATTTTATTTCATTTAATTTTATTCTATTTTATCCGTTCTATGCATTATCAAACTTCTCCTCTACTGCTAGAGCTACTAAAACTTCAGACCGAATATATTAAACATTTTAATTCGCCCCCTCTAGCGGTTTGGGCCAAATTGCAGCTTTCCAAAAAAATCCAAGATGGCGGCGGCAGATCGGGCCGATTGCCGATTTCATTGTATTTTCCTTGGTCTTTTACGCGATTCAAGCAAAGAAAACAAGTTGACCACAAGAACAAAAGAGTAATACAGCACTGGGAATCTAATGGTCCGTTTTGTTGGGCGGTAATTTCTCATTTCAAGTGAATATTTACGTGCGTCACAGTGATTTATTCACCAATCAAAAGCGACATCTTGCGACTTAAGCAAATATGGAAGGTTAATGTACATAATTTATGTCATTGATTTATTGGTCCAATTACAGCAGCTATTAGCGAAATTCTAGAACATTAAATGCATACTATGATATAAAACAATGGTTTTGTGGTAAACAGCATTTCCTCTTTTTTTAGCAACTTCGTTGTATAAGAATAATGACACTATCATCCGGTAGGTCGACGCCACAAAGTAAAGTATACATGCAGAGTAATTGGTTTCATTGGTTTTCACGGTCGAAATTGGTTTTCACGGTCGAAATCAACGAATATCCAAGGTACCAAAGAACCTATTTTGGGGCACAATATCTCGGCCGCTCAGGCGGCCGAGATAAAAACATCTCAGTACCTATCTGCAAGTATATTATAGAAGATAGATAGATGGAATAACACATAACCACACATAAATGGATATTTGATAGAATGTATTGTATGTATGATTGCTACCCAGGCTGTGAGATCAGTGACGAGATTCCACAACCTTACGACAGCCTCAAGCGGCAGGGCAGCCACCCAGTGGAGTCAGAGGCCGCGAAACGACGGAGGTCGTGGGGACAAACGTCCTCGTCCTCCCTGGACAGCAACCCCAGCTTCGAGCGGCAGATCAGCCCGACTGGAGAGCGACGGAGGGGGTCATCGACCTACCAGCAGTCGATGGTTTCCTTCGATAGTTCTGTGTCCCCAAGGCATCCACTGCGGAGGCAGTCGAGCAGCCGGTCTCTGCCAAGGTCGCCCCAGTCTAGCTTTGAACTTGAGGACAATGACGCCACAAGGGGTAGGATACTTCTTTCTCTTGAAAAATGACCTATAAAATTGAGGCACTTCACACAATTCTATTGTAGTACAATCTAGAATCCTTGGTATAGGTGAAGTAGATCTGGAGTAGAACAAGTTAATTTGGTGTATTCCTAAATTACATAAACCTTAGTTATACCAATCGCATTAGAATACATTGCAACTGAATATGTAGAGTTCTAGGAATGTGTAACACTCAGTAGAAATACAAACTGTTTTGAAAACTGTAACTGAGTGACTTTCCTCAAATACTTTATGTTGCTGTAGATCTTGCATTTTCATTCACTCTGTGGCCTCTTGCTGTTTTCTTCTATTTCTGCATAATGCTGTCTGCTGCAAATAGATGCACTTAATTACATAATTGCAGGTTTTGTGTCTTAGTGCTGGTATAGGCCACGTCTTTAAAAGCAACAGTAAGTACTTTGCACTTCCGTTCTCTGAATCTTTCTATCAGTTTGTCAGTAATGCAGTTATGATTTTCTTCTTTTATCTGTGCGCTTTATGTAAACTGTAATATTTCATTGCTTTGTAAAAGATAACTATTTTTTGCTATTTCTTCATACTTGTTTACATGCTTGATAATACTACCTACTGCCACATAAAAACAATGGATTTTAGGAAATGTAGGCATCAATGATTGGATCTATGGAGATAGAGGTATAGACGTATGCTCACAAAATATTCAGGTGTTCAAACTTTTGTTTTTAATGTCGTGGTCGTAGGGTATTCGGTGAAACGATTGTGATATACATACTTATTACAAAACATAATTGTATACTGGTTTCCCCAGATCCTGTGATTCTGGAGGACAGGGAGGACTGCTACAAGCCAGGCAAGGGATTCGTCCTCATCATGAACAACTTCTCAACTGAACGGGAAGGTGAGAGTCATAAGTTAAAGCTCAACACAAATTCAAGCAACATGGAACTGAGACCTTAGCCTGGTGCTGTGATTTTTGCTTGGACAACACATTTCATAAGCCAAGTAATCATAACAATTGTAAACCACTTAAGATAAACTAGTATTACCTCATGGGTATAATTATTCTGGCTTCTTGGCATTTCTTGTTGACGAATTTACAATGAACCTGTAAGTACTAGATATATAGCGTCTGTCTTCCCTGTAACTGTAATTAACCCTTTAGTGAGCAAAAGTGCATGTGGCTCCCCAAGGAGGTTAAATTTCGTATTTAACTTCCTTGGGCTCACTTTGAAATTATCGTTCATTCATCTGTTACGTATTTTGTTTTGCGCTGGTTTGAATACAAAAGGTCTAAGACATCTAACTCCTCCCCCACAGCTTCCAAAATGGACGTGGAAGGTCTTGAAGACTTCTTCCAAAAGATTGGATACAAGGTCATCACTGCTGATGAAGACCAGACTAAGGAACAAATGATGGACGTCCTGGAGATGGCCAAGCTGGAAATACAGAAGACTGCAAGGGGCAAAAACAAGTATTCCTGCTTCATCTGTATCGTGTCCAGCCATGGAGACAAGGTAGGACACATTTTCAATTATATTATCTTTACACCATGGATAGAGGAATACTATTTTGCATAGCCTAGAGGACAGACTGTCAGAGCCTACATAGCCCAGCTTCTTGGCTCCAAGGAAATTTTACCACAGATATCCATCAGTTAGATGCAACAGGCCAACGTCCAATCTAGTGATAAACAGTCTCTCACTGTCAGTGGCTATATGATGTTGCAGAGCCTAGGGGACAGACTGTTGTCAGAGCCTACATAGGCCAGCTTCTTGGCTCCAATGAAATTTTACCACAGATATCCCTCAGTTAGATGCAACAGTTCAAAGCCCAATCTAGTGTGACGCAGTCTCTCGCTGTCATTGGCTATATGGTCCCCAGGCCTAGCCTAAACATAACCCTCTCTTCCCCCCACAGGAAGGAGTGAAGTCCTACGATAACCAGACCGTCTCCATCGCTGAGCTGCAGGCACCTTTTCTGGGGGACAGTCTGAAATGCATGGCAGGTAAGCTTTTATTAAGGCTTAGGCCATGGCAACCACGCGTCTGCAGATCTGAAGTAACCCAAAGCGTGCTGCTTTATGTGGGGTAAGCTAACAGATGCCATAAGTTTATTTTGTGGATCACCACGTCCTAGGATGTGGAGTTGGACAGAGTAATATGTCAAGATGTCATGTTACGTGTTACTGAAGGAACAGTTACCAGAAATTTAAGAAGCTGCAGAGCCTTTGTTAATCCAAATCTATATAATATAAACTACTGTAGAATGGGATAAGTTCTTACAAACACATTGTGACCAGCCCTGTACTGCCCACTTGCTACATAATGTGTTCCAACACCACATGGTGCCTGCTACAGCACCAATTACCATAGAGACAAACGTCTGGTCCAGGCCATTGACCTTATGTGTTTGAGAAAAAAACAGAACACAAACAGTATGTTTCTCTTTCTTTTAAAGTAAACATAATTGAATCTGTTTCAGGGAGTCCCAAGATGTTCATCATCCAGGCCTGTCGCGGGGAAAAGAAGCAGCCAGGCGTGGACCGGCCTGATGAGGAACCTGGGGACGAGAGGCAGCTGGACTGGTCTGACGTCATGAGGTCCGTCACCACGCCCAAGGACGCGGACGTTCTGGTTGCCTACGCCACGACGGAAGGTATTTGGCGACTTACTTACATGCCTACTTCACTGACTTGTACAGATAGAGTTTGTCACAAGATAATGGAGCTTGTAAATATCTGGGTTGTATAGTTACTGTACTGTCTTTATAGTTTTTGTAAATACATGATACTTGACATTTTGTAAATATCAACGCCATTCAGGCAACATTGTATGTCATATCTGTCTGTTATGTTTGGTATATCTTAATAAAGAATTGAATTGACTGACTTACGTAGAGTACCAGCATTCCTCATCCACCTGAACCGCAGCAGTTGCTTAAAAGCTCTCCTCAGTCATGTCCTTGCCTCAGCTTTCAGTAGGTAGCCCAGTGCCCTTCTTAACGTTCAGCATGCCTATATAAGTGAGGCGCTTTCCATGGTGACCGTAGCAACAGATTGAACACTCATCACATGACATTTTTGTTGCTGCAGGTTTCCAGGCCTTTCGCCGTGTTGGAGAGGGCTCGTGGTTCTTGTCGAAGATGCTGAAGGTCTTCAACGCGAAGCACCAAACCGACCACCTGTTGGACATGCTGACAGAGGTCAACGACCGGGTGTCCCACCGAACGGCGATCGGCTCACAACCCGCCAAGCAGATGCCGTGCCAGGTCTCAACTTTCACCAGGAAGTTCTTCTTCTAACACCTGACCAACAACATATCCCTTTTGTATCCACACCCGCTGTGTACATATACATACTCAGGCACGGTTCTGGATAGTTCACACGCTTATCCACAATCGTGCTTGATCCATAACATACTCATGCTTGGTTCCAGATAACCGTGCTTTATCCATAACCGTGTTCAGGCAAGGTCCTGGATAGTCCACGCGTATCCGGATCTGTGCCTGGTGCAAATCTTCGTCCCTGGATACGCGGAGGCTATCCAGAACCATGCCTGATCCTAACCCTAGGCCTAACCCAGCTAAGGCACGGTTCTGGAAACGATAAACCCACAGCATATCTCCACAGACATAACAAGAAGTTTTTCTTCTAAGAAAAGAAGGTTTACCATATGAAATCTAACGATCGAATTTTGATGACTTCTGTGACATTCCTCACGTTTACTAGGAGGTGCTTTGTCGTTGCAGTTTATAATTTGCAGTATGGCAATGGCAGATTTACTGATCAAAATATAAACTCTTTTCTTTACCAGTATTTTTTCTCAGGTATTTTGATTAGGAAATTCCACCTGCCACCTTTAAAAAATAGGAATTGTTATGAATCCCTTTGTACTTATCCTCTAACTTAACTCTATCCACATAAACAGTGATCACAGGAAAGAAATTCTGATGCCAATGTGCTCTCATTTAAACACTAGCTACTAGATACTTTAGTAGCTTTTTCAATGATACATTTTCTGCTCAAAAATCATTTGATCAATAATTAGAATTAAAAGAAAGAAAACGAGAAAATTTCACCATGCTAATGTTCAAGTCTAATGAAAAAAAGTTGTAGTGTATTTTTTTCTAAACAAACTTAACAGTATTGGCCAGACTGTTTAGACAGTGGAGTACACTGCCCGTATGTGATTGAACACTAAATATCTGTTCCTTCCAGTATGTCGTGTGTTGTTGTCATTAACTATCTATTTCGGTGTCATTTGAAATGCTATCACAGAGCAGAATTTAGGAGAGATAATGGTGTTATTTAATGCTAAGTTTTAAACATATTTAAAACATTCCAATACTTAAACGTTTTGATTTTTTATATTAACCAAGACCTTGCATTGATTGTAATGTGTGACTACCTATGTATTTTAATATATCAGTAGGTTACATTCATACCTAGGCATGAATTTATATTCAGGAGTGGCATGCTTGTTTTATACTTTTGTAGGTAGACTAGGATCTTACTCTTTGTCTTTTTAATTATAATTTAAAGTTGTAGAAATCAAATATCGCTGAATGGTTACTTTATGCACAGTTTCTATTTTTACTTGTGATCATCATATATATTATGTCCCACCATAATGTCGAGTGGTAAATTATTCCAATAACTCACCACCAGTTGTCGCACTTACTATGACGTTATGACGCCATATCCAATATAAAAGACACGTTCGATCTATTTCCCAACGATTGTATTAATAGGACACCTTGGAACAAACATTTCCTAGAATTCAATCTCTTTTCCAAATTGTCTGGAAAATTTCACAAAAAACGTTTCAAGTTATTTTGCTTGCAAGATAACTTTGGTGATAACACAACCTTTTTCTCATTCATATCTATATATGGCTAATGAGATTAAGGCAAGACATCGACGTCACTTGTGTACAGTATCAACACCTGTATTGAGATTTTTGAGAGTTGATTTTTGGGTTTGTCATGATATACCAATATTTTTCTTCCATATTTACCTGTTTGTGTCCTTGTTTGTGACCAATTGTCCGAGACAATATATTTTAACGTGTGCATTTATGTGTGAACCATTAAATGATCCTACAGTGACCGTGTTTGTTCTTGTATTTTTTTGTGCCATCTTGTCACCAGTGGAGATGTTTTCCATTTCAGAAAACAACTCTCCCCTACAAACCTCTTAAGTCCAACCCATCGCTATACAAATATCGACGTAAACATTACTAATTAATCGGTACATACAACATGGCAATATGATAACAAATGACACGTGGTATTATGATAAGAATAAAGAACTGTTGGCCAATCTCTAGTAGGCCCCAGTGATGTGCCCTTCGAAAAAGCACTTTATTATTATTATTACTTCAATTAGTCTAGACTAGGGTGAAAATAAGCACCTAGCTTGGGTTACGGTCGTCCTACCGGGTAGGACGTAAAGCCAGAAGTCCCATTGCAGCCTGTATATAACTGGTGTGTGAAGTCGAGGGTGTGCCATGCAAAACAATAACAAAAGAGCACACCTTGTATGCTGGGAACGGAACAGGTGGCAGGCCGGCGATGGCCTAGCCTGACCACCGTGTCCCATAGTAACGCACACCCTTTCACACGTACAAAAACAGTCGGGTGGGAAAAACCCCAGTCACTCCCCACATCGCTTCTTAACGGACGGATTGGGGAAATATTCATCTATACCTACAGACCATGAAGCTCCTGGTGTTCCTGTGTGTGGTGGCCCTGGCGGCTGCGAGGGTAAGTAACTGATCAAGAATCGTGTTTTGTGATACCCAGTCTCCGGCGGAAAAACTCCCCCTTTTCAGTTTTATCTGTTTCTGTGGTACAAAGTAACTGTGTCCAAGACTAGGGTACAAAGGAGGCTCCGACGAACTGGTTAAGTTTTGTAGCTACCGTTTGGTGTTTTTTGTATACCAGTACCCATCCATATATTAGAGCGGGCAATGAGTTTTTAACATAAGAAAAAACAGAAGTTATCATGAGGATTCCAGCAGATTTGTACGGGTAAGGGGATAAATTCTCTGTTTTTTTGTTTGTTTTTTTTTGTTTCAGCGGTTCCACATCCCGATCTCGGAGCGCGGCGCGCGGTTCCAGGAGACCGTAGAGGTGGGGGGAGGGTACCGACTGGCGGAGGTGCCCGCACACAACAACCGGGACCACATCCGAGTACTCACCAGCCGCAGGATGGTAAGGGCCCCGTGTCAAGCCTGATGTTTGCCCCTGCCAAATATTTTCCTCGATACTACTTGGGTGACTTTCAATAAACCCATCCCCCAATCGGCCAATCATAAGCTTTACCTTGACCCAAACCATTACATCCCATCTTAATCTAACGCTAACCGTACTATAGCTCTGAATTCTGTGCAGGCACGCGCAATTTCCCACTACGCAAAAGAATGACGGAGAAGAATGGTTTGGCGTGACATACGTTGTATGATTCTCGACTTTGTGAGACCTTGTATTTTGTTTTGTTTTGCGTGTTGTTTTTCAAATTAATGGTTTGCTCTAGCCATTGTGACATCGTTTGCTGTCATCGTCAACCCATTATGTACATTAACCCTCTGGGTTATCTCGCGTTGGCTGAATTTACACACGAACGTACACAAAAACGCGCACAGATAAGATACGTTGTCAAAAAGGTGTGAACTGGTTATATCAACATCCGACATTATCCAATATCATCTTAATGCTATCCAAACAAGTATTACATGCATTTGTTTGTTTTAAAGTGGTGTCAAATATTTGAGTATATCATCGTAGAGTTGATACAAGTTACTAGAAATCGTGAGAAAGTAACGATCGGAAAAGAATGGCTTACCCCGTGGACGGGCTAGTGAAACATCCCTCCTGTTGTTTTACATCATAACCGTTCTTCACTTAACTTAGATTTTAAAAACATCTGCAGGCCAGTGTGTTTTTGGCTGTTGGTACTTGGAGGTGTTGTGTGTCTAGATTAAACCACATCTACATTTTCTCTTCTACTTTTTCTCTTGTGCTGTGCTTTAGGGCGAAACCATGTACTGCATGCCGGAGAGGGGTGTTTGCTTCCTGATGGCTACAGAGCAGCGCGGAGGGGAGGGCCCTGATGCCGCACTGGAAACGGAACTGACGCAACTAGAGGTAAACATTTAAATGTATTGGTGGCTAAAAAAAAAGGAGTCAAAACTCTGCAAGCTGTAAGAAATTGGAGCAAATTTTAGACTGTACAACTCGTCTTTGTTACGGAATGAGAGATCCGCCACTTCTGTGACGTCACGTTATGCAGGTGCTCGTTGAACATTGGATCATAGGTTGCAGAAAGTCTGTGGCGCCCCCGTCTTTGTTGAGGCAAGTTTATTGTTGTACCAAATGCGCATGAATATCGGCTTGCACGCACGGCAGCTAGCTTGTCTGGTGACTTCATGACCTCAATAAAAAAACGGTCAGAAGGCTGATTTGAGTACTTCGTGAATAAACAAAGTCTAAAAAAATACCAATTTCTTGCCTTCCCCCCAGCGCACAGGCCTTGTAGCGGAGTCAGACACCCTGACGGTGCAGAACGACTGGGTGGTCCTGGAGCAGAACCTGGACCGGAGCGCTCTGTCCGACCCGCGCATGCGCCGATTTCACCAGGACCTGCCGCTGCATCGCGTGGACAAACTGACAGGGGGCGCTGATTTCCTAACGGAGACCTCTGGCGCAGGTAACCACGTGGTGTGCTGCTGGGGGTTACTGACCTTGGTGCTGAACTAGCCTCACAACGAGAACACGTTACTTAAAACAAGTATCACGGTATGGTGTATGGAGCGACGCCTATTTCTGTTTCCTCAGCCCTTAGATCACACGAGTAATATTTCACCAGGGAGCAAGCCCACTAGTAGCATTGTTGTTCCAGTGTGTCTGCCTATTTGTTAGTGAATCTTAATATACATAATGCAGCCTTGCCATATGTCCCAAACAGAAAGGCGTTGCCTATTATTTCACCAGAGCAAGACCCTTTCCACAAATGTGGTAAATCTAATCATCAGTACATGCAATGTCCCCTGATGCTAACCCTGTTCATAGTTATAACTACACATGACAGACATACAGTGATAACCTGCCATGGCAAATTAAAAGAAAGCTGCATCTGAATCTGTGTGTTCCCCAGACACTGCTCCTGCCTCCAAGCGGCAGCTGATCGCGGGATCATGTCGTAACGACGCGGCTCCGCAGCGGAAGTACGCGGCCACCAGCCCCACCGGCTGCGGGTACGGGTACGAGTACCTGGTCTACTGCGCAGGGCAGAACAGCCAGTACAGCGAGTGTCCACGCTATCACGTCACTGACTACTTCTTCATGGTAGGGAAAATACATTGTGATTTCTTAATCATTTATGATTTTTTAAATGATATTTTACATATCAATTCATGTTTTTTAACAAATACCTTGTCTCTATCTCTGCTACTGGCCACCATCAAGGCTTCATGGTATAAAACAGTATTTTTCATCATTTATAGATTGTCATAATTTACTATTGATAAGTGTATTTTCAATCATTTATAGTTTTTCATAATTTACATAAATGTTACCCTTTAAGGTGCCCTGGCCGGTTATTCGCCCTCTTATTATTTCTACTTCCCATAACCCGATAGGTGGAGCCTACATCAATCCACTGATGCTAATTCAGAACCGTGCCTACATTGTTCTATGCCCGGATGGGTTAGAGTTGGGATCAGGCACGGTTCTGGATAGTATCCCAGAGCTTAGATTTGCTCCAGGCAAGGTTCTGGATACTAGTAGTCACTACTAGTATCCAGAACTAAGTAGTCTATCCAGAACTGTACCTGAGCATGGTTCTGGATATAATATTGACCACGCTTCCCTGTTCCCTACAGACCTGTCTGTGCTGTCCAGAGCACACAGCGAAGGAACAGTGCCTGTACTGCACTCAGCTGTCCTGCAGTGGGTACTATGACAACACCGGCGTCTGCTGAGCACATCTGAACTGACCATGGCTACTGGCCAGTACAGATGGCAGTCTATAAAGATGTGCCTTGTACATGTAGTTGCAGCTTGAAGCTTAGATGTTGAAATAAAGGTTCAAGTTCATCTGCTTTAGATGAGTTTTTATGTAAGATTAAAGGGTTAAAAACAAACCACAGAACAAGCAACTCAACACAACGTGAACCAGAACTGGAACTGTAAGTGTAACAGTAGTTTATTGAACAAGGAACCAAAACAAATAAAGGTACTATATTTTATTGCATAATTCATAAAATAGTAGAACAATCTGGTACTTAAACACCAGAATCAGATATTCACTATTTATCAGTTTTAGCCTGGGTGCCATCCTCCATAGTTTCCACTGGCTCGATATCTCTTTTTGATTGCTCTGAGGTGAGGAAGCGAAAGAGGGAGTCAGAGGTAACTACAGAGGCTGGCACCCAGGCTAGAAGAATCTCTTCATTAGCACTACATTCATCATAATCTTCAAGCGCGGATTCTTTGGCAGCAACATCATAACCAACTGGTCAGGTAGTATCCAATAGGCCAAGTACTGTCTACTGAGGACACTGCTTAGCCAATTGGACACTACCTTGCCATTTGGTTACAATTTTGCTACCGAAGGATCTGCTTGGAGATTAAGTTTACCAATCAGCAGGCACTACAGGGGACCAGTGTCATCAGCTGTTCTGCTCTGCCTGTTTGAGGAAGTACTCCTGCATGGCCCTGACTGCCCTCCCGCGGTGGGAGATCTCGTGCTTCTCTTCTTTCGTCATCTCTCCATAACTGTGGAAATCAGAATACAGTTGATGACAGTGTAGAAAGTCTGTAGTGTGTATCAAGTATTACTGACAGTTGTCATAAGATGCCAGTTTTGGTACTGGCTGGTTATGTTACACCAAATGACCTGTTGCACCTAACATTGGCACAACTGTGTTGTTTAATGTTATCTAGTGAGAATGTCCTTTCTGTACTTGGTGGTAACGAGTCCCACTCAATCCAGAAAGTCCCAGAAGACAAAAAGAAATACCCAGTAATTAAACCTAAAGATATTTGAAATGCATGGATACACTGTACATTGATGCTGCAGAATTATTCTTTTCAACTCCAAAACAAGAAATGTTTGACCTACAACTTTACTGTTTGTTCAGTAACTGAGGTTCAAATGGATGTTTCATCTCAGGACACACTTCAGGCAAACACTCCTGAACCTGTGTACTCACGTTTTCTCGAAACCCTCAGGCTGGAAGCAGGGATCCCAGCCAAAGTCTCTGGAGCCACGCGGGTCTACAATTTTACCCTGAAGAAAAGTATATGGAATTGTTGGTATTGTAACAATTTAGTTTTCTTATATAAGCAAATGATGTTCCATTTCCTTACACCCCAAAGGCCACACAACTGTTCAAGTAGAGATACTAGCGGGCTAGTCCACTGGTAGCACTCCATAACTCAAGCAGTCAACTGAATACCTGAATACCTAAATCATTGAAGCTACATACGCTTCAAGTTCAGCATACTTAAATGTTTTCTTAATATAATGTATACCTCTATCATTTGTAGTTATGTGAAAATTGGTACTGGCAAATGTACTTACTGGTGCGATGCCCTTAAACAACAGCACTTCATCCTGAGGGTTGCCGGGTGAAAAGGCCATCGTGCACATGGCATAGGCAGACTTATCCTCCCACCCTGTCAGCATACGGTACAGGCCTGAACATACAAAGCATAGACATTTCAACAAATCATTATAGGAGCAGATAGAAATAAAATGATTTGTTACAATAATGTCTACTCATAATTTGTTATCATAATTCCTACTAATGTCACAAGAAGAAAATACATAGCTTTAGGGGCAAGCCACTGAAATAAATAAGATATTTTTACATCTAAAAAAAATCTATACTTTGAGAAGGAAACTCACCCTCTGGGCCAATCTTTTCCAAAAACCATTTTCTGCAAAAGAAAACAAAACAAAATGGATTACCAATTTGACATGCCCTCTTTAAAATGACAGAAATTCTACTACTAATATGAAATTCATGAAATTCTACTACAATGTAACATTAGGACTCCAACATGTACAGACTGTACTGCTATATCCATGGGAAATATATAAGTAATGTGTAAACAGCGTAAAAAAAGTGCTGTACTCACATGTATGGACCAGGCAGTCCTCCTAGTGCATTAAAACATAAACAGGTGTCCTCTACAACACAGGGGCCTTGGATCTGCACAGGAAACAAGTTATGATGAGACATAATGATTCATTATGCAATGACTGAATGAGTAATTTAAAGAGCAATTAAAATATACAATATGACCTCTGACCTGTTTTGCTGCCTCCCTGGCCTTGGCCCTGGAGATGTCATCTGGTTCTCCCTGGTACTCTGGTACTGTGGAGAAAAATTATCATCGTCATCATCATCATCACCATCATCACTATACATCATTATCCAACATCATCATTATATCATCATCATTTAACATAACATCTTCATCAACATCATCATCCATCATCATCATCGATGATCATCACCATAATCGTCTGTCATCATCAACATCAGCAGTATTACCATCATCATCAATGGGATGATCTCTCAGTTTTAAGTTAAAGTATTTTCATTCAGGGATACTCGAGTTTACATTTAAAACTGATAGCTCTTGTGATGTGTTTATACTTACAGTCAACTTTCTTGGCGACCACCTCATAAGGAAAACCTGTTCCCAGGATCTGTTTCACCTGAAACAAACCACGCATCGGGCTTGACTGACATGTTGAAACATATGTCATAATTTCACGTGGCCGACCTGCAGCCTCTATGAAAACAAACATCTTTTTATACCTCGCTTAAGATATGTCTATTCGGCATTTCTAGACAGACATGTTCCTTAAAGCCTTAAGTTCCTTTAAGGACGGAACGACCGTCTCACCTCCTCCAGTTTCTTGGCATTCCCTGTGACGAAGACGATCCGTCTTGAGTTGGCCGCCATGCCGGCTGATGACCTCAGGTGTCCCAGTAACCTCTGACCTGACAAGATGGCGGCGCGCGAATGAAACATGCGGAGCTGAGAAGTTTTTCTTCCGATTCTGAGTAACTTACGCTGTTTTCTGGACACTTATATACGTTCAAAGGTAATGAATATGTTTTAGGATAAAAAGAGCACAGGTTGCTTGGAGTTTAATGTACTTCTTGTAAAGTTGCCGGGTTGATAATTTGATGGGTGACTCATAATTTTGAGCTGAGCCTACTAGGACCTACTAGTAGTAGCCTTTGGTAGCTGGTACTAGTATACTCTATATCATCTTTGTAAGCTCCTTGCTAGTATATCTATCCCATAAATTGATAAGCTAGTAACTAGCATGGCATGGCTCTGTGATGAAAGATGCTGCAACAGTACGAAGGTCCCAAATTAAGTGGTGTTAACAATTCCCAGCCAAAGCCTGCACCTGTGTTAACTAGTAGATGACAGAGTACTGGAGTTTGTAAAACCTCTATAATGACTTCTTGTTCCCAGCACCAGCCATGGACCTGCTGCCGCGCAGCCACACGGAGTTCAGCTCTGCAGAGTACTGGGACAGGTTCTTCAAGAAGAGGGGAGAGAAGGCTTTCGAGTGGTGAGTTAGTATTCAATCAATGGTTTATTTACAACAAGCAAATCTGTATCAGCAGTCTTCATTAGTTCATAGCATAGTCATGTGTTAGCCAATCCTATTTAAAATATTCAGTATATCCTCAAGCTTCTGTTGTATGCAGTGTGAACGGGTGAAGTCCGAGGCAGATAAGGCAAGTGCCTTCTCTCCTGTACAGCATATAGTTTGGGCAACTGTACCTGAGTTGAGAGTACCCTAAGTTAAGTCCTGCACAATACATGAAGCCTCAGCTCAGCAGCTGATGCTGGTTGTCGGTTGTGGTAACTCTCATCCCTGCAAGGGTCAACATGAGTTGTCTGCTTGTTTATTTGTTTTTTTTTATTTACCCCAGGTATGGAGAATACCCAGAGCTGTGTGGAGTCCTGCACAAGTACATGAAGCCCCAGGAGCCTGCTTTGGTATTCGGGTGTGGGAACTCTCTCAGCTTGAGTTATATGTTTATTTGTTTGTTTATTTAACCCCAGGTATGGAGAATACCCAGAGTTGCCACAAGTACATGAAGCCCCAGGAGCCTGCGCTGGTTGTCAGTTGTGGCAACTCTCAACTCAGCGAGGATCAACTTGAGTTATTTGTTTATTTGTTTGTTTATTTAACCCCAGGTATGGAGAGTACCCAGAGCTGTGTGGAGTCCTGCACAAGTACATGAAGCCCCAGGAGCCTGTGCTGGTTGTCGGGTGTGACAACTCTTGGCCCAGCAAGGGTCAACATGAGTTGTTTGCTTGTTTATTTGCTTGTTTATTTACCGCAGGTATGGAGAGTACCCTGAGCTGTGTGGAGTCCTGCACAAGTACATGAAGCCTCAGGAGGCTGTGCTGGTTGTCGGATGTGGGAACTCTCGGCTCAGTGAGGATCTGTACGACGTGGGTTACCACGGTCTGACTAATGTGGACATCAGCGAGGTGGTGGTGAGACAGATGGCAGAGAGGAACGCAGAGAAAAGGGCAGAGATGAAGTTTCTGCAGATGGATGTCATGAAGGTGATAGTTTCTTTCTTTGATCCTTTGTGTATTTATGAAAGACTGTACTCAAAGCTGCCTGCTACAAGGTACAAGATACATACAGGTGATGGTGATTGTCCAATAGCCAGAAAAAATACTGGTTTGGAGGCCAATTGCCACTTTAGCAGGCTAAAGGTTAAGATTGAGGCCTGATGGAGGAATTAGTTACTTGGGTGAAAACCAATGAAAGGCTAGTAGTAAATGAACCTTGTCATTAGTTAACCATTGCCTATATATGTAGCTTGAAGAGGATTCCTTGTTTTAACCTTTCAACAATCAAACCACATCAGCAAGGGCATTCAACAATCCACTACTGGTAAGTGTAAAAATAGTGAATGCAACCAGTGCAGTTAGAAGAGTTATAGATGCTTTCTTTGTAGCGTGCTGAAGTGATTTTCTGTTACAGATGGACTTTTCCGACTCCAGTTTCAGTGCAGTGCTTGACAAGGGCACCCTGGATGCCCTAATGCCAGACGACCAATCAGAGACCCAGGAGCGGGTCACACGGATGTTTGATGAGGTCGGCAGGGTGTTAAAGGTCGGAGGTCGCTATGTCATCATCACCCTGTCCCAGGAACACATCCTGAAGAAGCTCATGCAGTACTTCTCTCAGGAGTAAGGGGGAGCTTATTTCTACATCACACTGTTATAGGCCTTTATTATTATATGACGACAATGATTTACATGTAGAAAAGTAGAGCTGCCAAGTGGATGATAAATTAAATCAATTTTTCTGCCACATAAGAATATTGTCAAGCTTTTTGGCCCATGTTTTGTACTTATTTTAGTACAGTCGAACCGCAGGTCACCGTAGAACGCGTTATTCTCTAAGATACGGCGCTTGCCGGGTCACGATTTGACCTCGTTGCATGGGTGTAAACAACTGCCTATAGTGCAGCAAAAAGACCTCAGACCTACACAATGTTTACATTTTTTCATATCTACAGGATTTGCCCAGTACAACCATGTAGATATTTCGTGCATTGCAAAATGACAGCGAGCGCTACGGCCTTCCAAAAATTAGCAATTTTTGGTCATTTTATTTGTGCTTGTCTTTTTTACTATTTAACTGGATCCCGTTAGCTAATACCACAATGTGATAGCCCACTTCTTTACCTTTACATTGATACCAATGACCCCTGGTAAATTTTATGGCAAACGGGTTTGCCCCCAAAAAAACTGTGACGATGCGCATATCGCGGTGGTCAAATTTAGCCCAGTTGTAAGCTACTGACACACACCATCCTGAGTTTCCGCTACATTTTGATACATTTCGCGTAATGTCATAAAATTCGTTTCTTGGTATGAGAAACTGTTTGAATGTGGCTACCACAATGCAATATAATACGTGATATGATAACATTCAATTATATACAAAAAAGAGGAATTTAATACAAGGTTCTGACCATTCAAAAATCGTCAAATTTGAAGTCAATCGGTTTCGAACTCCTGCGTTCGATCC